TCCGATCTGGTTTTAGGGTTTAGGGTTTAGGGTTTGGGGTTTAGGGGTTTAAGGTTTAGGGGTTTAGGGTTTAGGGGTTAGGGCTTTAGGGGTTTAGGGGTTTAGGGGTTTAGGACTCCATTATGTAGAGGATGAGGGATTGGGGTTGTTCTATACGAGGAAACACTGAAGTTACTACAAGGATACGGTAAGGGCCCAAGACTACTATAAGGATTACAATGATCCTACAAGGTTACTAGGGGCTGAGGCCTATGGCCTTTTTCAGGCTCACGGGCGGAAAGCTGTACTATTGAGGTGACACGAGAACCTCATGAAGATCATGGATAAACGCTAAACCCTAAACCCTAAAGCGGAGCAAGTGCGACTTTTCATTCGGCTCGGGCTCACTTTGGATCCTAAAAGCAAACAAAAGGGTGAAACTTGCGAAACTGACCTGACCTCAGGGTCCCCACGAAGCTGTGCTCGCATGCAAGAGCAACATATGACGACCCAACACAAAGATTGGGTTTAGAGTTAACGGTCTAGGGTGTAGGGTCTTCAAAGATTGGGGATCTTGGAAATCAGAAGCTCAGGAATTGGTTGGCCACCGCGGTGGCTCCGGCCGGCGAGAATCAACTGCGCCCTCGTCAGATAGAAAGGCTACAGGTGAAGTTTAGACTCTGCACCACAAGCCCAAGCTCCACCTGCCTCGCTCGCCCCTGCCTTTAACCCCACAGGGAAAGTACACAAACGACTATAGCGGTCACTGAGAGGGTGGAGGTTAACCCGCTAAATCTGTGAACCCCGCTGTGCTTGCGGACCGCGTATCCCGATGATGCCTCAATTTCTTCGGGCCCTAACGTAGGGGCCTAAATCATTGGAATAGGGTTTTCGGGGGGGTATGTTATACTATAATTTTAAAAAGGAGCCCCAAAAATGATATAGGTAGTTATTTAGGCCCCTACAGTACAGAGGATAGGCTTTCTCCCATCTGGCCTCGAATGGCCGATGGCTTGTCCTGCACGGCTCGCGAAGTGGCTCTGATTATACAAGTTAGCAGTCTACAGTAGTATTTTAGGGTTTAGGGTTTAGGGTTTAGGGTTTAGGGTTTAGCGTATCTCTAGCTTGGTATCGTAGCTAGGCTTAGTAGATTGCTTCCATGCTGAGTCGGTGAAGAAACCGACTTGCAAACATGTGCCTATGTATGCATGTGTGTGCATGTGTACATATGTATGTGTATATATATATATATACACATACATTATATATATATAATATATATATATATATATATATGCACAAAGGCACAAACACGCATGAGTATATGCATGTGTATATATATATATATAAGAAGCTGTATGCTTATTTGCGGTCATGCCTTCAAATCTAACAAAGCATCGGAACTTCTGTATTCTTAGCTGCTCATCACAGACGATAGAAGGCCGCTGAGTGAACCGACGTTTGTGAAGGAAAGTGGGGGCAGGAAACAGAGGGGGGTGCGGAGCGGTGGACAATCAGCATACAGTAGTATGAAATAAATGCAAGTATATGGTCAACGGCCATTGAACATAGCACGCCACAAGAACGTCACACAATACCCCCGGCAGTAACCCTGTCAATGTAATCTTTGTTTGTCTCATGGTTCGTATGTCGAACAAACATACGTGTATGTGTTTGTATAGTATATATATATATGTGGAAATGTACAGTGTACACTGGGTACATGTGTTTGCACAAAATACACAGACGAGGCATGCATACGGCGAGCGTCGAGCACGTGCTTAACTCAGGAAAGGGGGGTCGGCATTTCAACGAGAACTGACACGAGCGTGTGCGCCGGTGTGCATGGGCACGACATGCGCACAGCCCCTACAGAGGGACTTCTCGCTTTTGAACAGGATACTCGGGCACTCTGACACTCTACAGGATGGCGGCGATGTAGAGTAATGCATTGTCTTGGGGGTTCCTTATTATAAATATAGCATAATGGGGCCCCAAAAAACCCTAGTCTAATTATTAAGGCGCCTATAATATCGTGGAATGTATGGGAGTTTCCAGCCCTGGCCCTGGATACTAGGATCCTATTTCTTGAGCCCACGAAGAGACCGCTGGCATCTTTGCCCTCGCTCCTGTGCAGATGGCCGCAGCCTCGAACTCTCGTCCGAATCCGGGTAAATTCCAGCGCCCCAGCGTCCTGCGATTTCCGAGCCGTATCGGGTTTAGGGTCGAGGTTTTGGGGCTTAAACTTTCGGGTCTAGGATGAAAGCACTGGCTCTTAGCAAGTTACGCCTTCAGGCTGCGAATGTGGTTATGGTCTTGCACAGGAGAAAATTCTGACAATCCTGCAATACCCGACTATAGCCCAAGAGCCATATCCCGTGTTTGAGCTGGACACGCCCACCACGGCAAAGTCCTCCCGGAGAGGAGCTCCCAAGCGAAGAGCTCACCGCCCTCCCGCAAAGCCCAAAGCCGCAGCGACGCCTCCACGGCGTGCAGTTTAGGATGTAATGTAAGGGCCTTCATAATTAGAACAGGGTTTTGGGGGTTCCTTATTATAACTATAGTATAATATACCCCAAACCCTATTCCAATTAATTATTAAGGCCTCTATGTTAGGCTTTCGGGGCTGGGGAAGATCCGAGCAGGCTGAAGCTCTGGTCTCAGGTACTATAAGGGCCTTAACACCTAGAATAGGGTAAAATAGTATATATTGGTAATTATTTAGGCTTCTATTGTAATTATAATAAGGAACCCGCAAAATAGTATTGGTAACTATTTAGGCTTCTATTGTAATTGTAGTAAGGAACCCCCAAAATAGTATTGGTAACTATTTCAGCTTCTATCATAATTCTAATTGTAGTAAGGAACCCCCAAAATAGTATTGGTAACTATTTAAGCTTCTATCATAATTCTAATTGTAGTAAGGAACCCCCAAAATAGTATTGGTAACTATTTAAGCTTCTATCATAATTCTAAAACGGAACCCCCAAAATAGTGTTGGTAACTATTTAGGCTTCTATGTTACCTAGATTCCGAGATGCTGAGGGCCAGGCTTGGGCAGCATCCGGCTCAAGCGTCAAGGAGAGCACCTCAGGAAGCTGTGAATATGCTGAAACATGACAAACGTTTTGGGGTTCAGGGTGTAGGGTTCAGGGTTTGGGGTTCAGGGTTCAGGGTTTAGGGTTTAGGGTGTAAGGTACAGGTTTTGCACGAGGCCTTTCCACGGCCATTGGCACTCAGAAACGTAAACCCTGAACCCTGAATCCCCATAGTAACCCCTGTAATGACCCGCAGTTCTGCTTCAGTAACACCACCCCATCACGGCAGCAACCGGCCTCCTTGTTTGAGGCGGCGCAGCTATCTTCAGCTGGTCTCGCTCTAGCCTGATCCACGAGACTTTCGGCTTAAGCCCCCAAAGACTCCAATATCCCTTAATTAAGGAATATACCTTAAATCATATATTAGTTATCCTACTATAAGTTAAGGTATATTCCTTAATTAAGGGACATTGGAGTCTGTCCTCCTCAGGCAGAGCGTGGCAGATGCGCCTCAAGAGCGCCAGGCCGTCCGGCGGGGATCTTGAAGGGCACGTCAAAGAAAGGATGCACCTAAGCTCTCTTTGTTTTCCATGGCGCACATGCCCCTTTTGAGGGCAGCTCCCGAAATTGGAGCATCTATCCTCGGTGTCGGTTGCACTACGTGGCGGAGGAAGCACAGAGCTTGCATGGTTCATCCGAGGCACAACTTCGGGCCACTGTTCTCCAGGCATCGGGCGCCGAATCACGGCGACAGGCAGCCTCGCACCATCCCAGCCGGCAATCAGAAGGCACCTGAGCCAGTCTCGCTGTCCCTCCACACCTCCACCTACACTTTCCTGCAGCTACATGGCATCAGCTTGCGGACTCCCCAAGCCGAGAGGAGCACCGTCCCTGCACAGGTTCGGGCTGTGCTGCACTTAGCATCGTCTGCAGCGACTCACACGGGACCTGGCTCCAGGTGTGCTTGGGATTACTACTGCTAATTTTAGTTGGGATGACTATGACGATGATGATGACGACGGTGATGATGAGGATGACGCAAAAGACTACATTGACGATGATGAGAATGCTGACGACGACGATGACGATGACGATGATGATGGTGATGATAATGATTATGATGATGATGATGATGAAGATGATGATGATGATGAAGATGATGATGATGATGCTGATGCTGATGCTGATGCTGATGCTGATGCTGATGATGCTGATGATGCTGATGATGATGATGATGATGATGATGAAGATGATGATGATGATGATGATGATGATGATGATGGTGGTGGTGACGATGACGATGGCGACGATGGAGATGATGGTGACGATGATGATGATAATGATGATGATGATGATGATCATCATCATCATCATCATACTGACGACGTTGAGTACTACCCCCCGTTCATGGAATGTATATGAATGTATTGCTTTGCTTGAAGTCTTGTGTGATCAATCCTTTCTGGTGCCGCCGTTTCCGCCATCAGCATCAGTACCACCACCGGCTGTTAGTGAATAGTGAATAGTGTTACGATGTGTTGCCTGTTTGGTCATTCACTGATGGTCGATGCATCTTTAAATACATGCCTGGTTGTTTGTTTCGCGGTTTCAGTACGGCTTTTTGACACCATTGCTATCTCCGGCACTACTGCAGCATAGGGTGGCCATGGACGTTTGGTTTTCGGTGCCTGGTTGAAGTTGTCCTGCCTCTTGTTGACTGTCGCATGGAGGTTTGAGAGTTCAGAGTGGTCAGTGCATACAGTTCCGCGGTTTGGCGCAAACAACCCTATTTTCAACCCGGCAGAGATTTCGAAAGCAGCTGCCCGGGCAATGCCAAGTCCTGAAACGAATGCTGCCGCTCAAACTCGGATCTTCTCAGCGGGAGGGGCATGAAACTCCCACGAAACAAAGGAAGCCCTTAAGTCCACAAACCTGTACCTAAACCGGTGCCTGAACCTGCGCCAGTGATTCATGCCGAGCCTGGATCCCTGCAAGATTTCTCCATGGGGACCCCGATATCCTCGCAGCGTGGGATGCAGCAGCAGAAGTTAAGGTCTGGCGTACTGAATCAAGGTGTCAGACACATGGCTAAACGGTTTGTAGGTTGGGTTCCTTGGGGTTTGGGGCTGAACATTTGACAGCTTGGAGCACAAACTCTGTGTTGGCTTCGGGTTCAAACAGGGCTCTTCAACTTTAGACGGACAAGTCTCGAGCGTTTGGTGCTGTCGAGTGGCTGCTCATCGTTGATCCCGTTCTTTCAGAACTAGTCACTAGAAGTCGCAAACTTACTGCTTGGTCATTGCGACTCATCTTGCAAACCTTTCTGATGTTGCTTCGTTGTGCCACCTTCTCACCGGGAAGACTAGCAAACTCGTCATGGCACTGCTCCCAAGACAACGCTGTTAGGGTTTAGGGTTTAGGGTTTAGGGTTTAGGGTTTAGGGTTTAGGGTTTAGGGTTTAGGGTTTAGGGTTTAGGGCTGCTGCTGCTACGAACCACCACTACGACCACGACCTCTGATACTAATTACCACGACCGGAACAGTCGCTACCAATTCGACGAGGACCACCACTACCACGACGACCGCGACCCTCTTTACCCGAAGCCGCTGGGCAGGCCTTACCACTGCCGACTCGGAGCCCGCACCCGAGAGACCTCATCTTCCGAAGGGAAGGTTGGGGAGCTTGAGGTGCTTGGGTTTACGGTGTTAGGTGTGGCCGAAAAGCTTGGGGAGGCTTGAAACTCGAATCACAAGCTGCAGTGAGAATTAGATCATAGCTTCCGAATAGCCGTTGGACGCAGCGGGTGCTTCAGAGACTGACGACTTCACTTTGCTCAGTAGCCCCACCGGAAAACCCAAGACCCGATTCAGATTCAAGAGCCCCTAAACTCTAAACCCTAAACCCTAAACCCTAAACCCTAACCCTGAAACCTAAACCCTAAAGCTGAAACCACGACTTCTGTCAGCCCCAAACCACGGGCTTCATCGGACTCCCTTATATAATTAAGGAATATACCTTAAATTATAGTAGGATCCCTAATATGATTTAAGGTATATTCCTTAATTTAGGGATATTGGAGTCTCGGGGAACCCGGGCACTCTTCGGGGCCCGGCTGAGACGGAGGAATCCCTCGGAGAGCGTGGCCTTCAGGCAGCTCCCGGCCTGGCGCGTTTGGACTTTTAGGGTTTAGGGGTTTGATTCGGGATTTAGGGTGTAAGGTTTAGGGTGGAGGGTTTAGGGTCAGTTTAGGGTTTAGGGGCTTGATTGGGGATTTAGGGTGTGAGGTTTAGGGTTGAGGGTTTAGGGTCAGTTTAAGGTTTAGGGGTTTGATTGGGGATTTAGGGTGTAAGGTTTAGGGTTGAGGGTTTAGGGTCAGTTTAGGGTTTAAGGGTACTTCGCCAGCTTGAAGAACTGGAGTTTGAAGATCACTTACAGTCATCCCTGCAGTCGCCATCAACCCGCTCTTCAAAACGTTATTCAGCTTCATCGTCACCCCCATCACCACAATCATCATCATCATCACCATCATCATCATCATCAACCTTATCAACATCATTATCGTCGTCGTCATCATTCCGAACATCACGTTTGCTAGCATCATCAGAAAACAGCCTTGCGGGCTTTGGGGCCCGTCTTGGAGCCCCCTGCTGATGCTGCTGCAGTTGGTGCTGGCTGATCCACCCGAGTCCAAAATCCAAGAAGGACCCTATTCCGCCTTGGTCACCTCAGCATCTCCGCATGCATCAGTGAGGCTGTGAAGGATCCCTAAACCCTCTTTGCTTCCTTCGCCCCATTGGATATAGATGAACCGGCATAGATGGCCCTGCCCTGCAGCCCCCTAGGGCTCCCAGATACCTCCATGAGTCTCTTCGCATCTTTAGTGCGATGATGTCCAAAGGAGCTGCTGAAGCCACTAAACCCTAAACCCTAAACCCTAAACTAAGGCCATCATGCCAAGACTGTACCTTTCCCTTACGTGCCCACTGACTCTCAAGACCATCCTCTGCGCCCGTGCCTCCTCACACAGCGGCACCTCACCCACAGCGAAGTCCTCCTGATTCTTGCAGCAGTCACAGGTACTTCAGCGAACAAAAGAAGTAAAAAGAAGAACAAGACTGCTGAGTAAGAGCAGGTACGAGTGATACCAGTAGTAGTAGCCATAATAACAATGACAAAGCATAGCAATAAGTCGTTATGATAATAAACAAAACAACACTCATGATGCAATGGAGCTTCACTTCAAATGCACACCTTCCGACATCGAGAGTCGCTCTTTGACGGGAGTTGGTGCAAGCACGAGGCGGCCGTGCAAGTCATCTTGCATAGATGGATAGATAGATAGATAGATAGATAGATAGATAGATAGATATATAGATAGATAGGTAGGACCCCTGAGCCTACACCCTCAACTCCCAGGGAGCGCGGCCTTCGGCTGCAGGGCGGCTATCCGACGCAGAGGCCAGGAGCTGTTGCTGCCAGGTACGGCCTCTCCAGGTTACCCAGAGTTCGGTTTAGGGTTTAGGGTTTTGACGGTGTTGAGGGTTTAGGGTTTAGGGTCTTCAGGTGACCCAGAGTTTAGGGCTGGTGTGGTTGAAGGTGCTCACTGTCGGGCTTAATGTAGCGGCCTTAATAAGTAGAATAAGGCTTTGGGGGTATACTCTACTATAATTACAATTAAGGAACCCCCAAAATAGTATAGGTAATTATTTAGGCTTCCACATTAGGGTTTCGGGTTTCGGGTTATAAGAATAAGGAACCCCTATATCCTATGAAGGCCCCTACAGCAGCTGAGCGGTCTGAACCCCGAGCCGGTGCTTCCAAGCCAGATGCTGAACACAAGGGCTCAAGTAAGTAAAGTAGGGGCCTTTATAGTTAGAATAGGGTTCCTTTAAGGGGGATCCTTAAAGGGTTCTATAAGGGATTCTATGATAGGGTTCAAGAGTAAGGGCCTTAATAATTGGAATAGGGTTTGGGGTAAATAATTAATACTTTACGTATGTTAACGAACCCGCAAAATACGATAGGTAATTATTTAGGCCCCTACATTACAGTGATAAGCACCTTCTCCTTGATCAGGTCTTGCTGGCGCTGAAACAGACAGCAGATCTGAGGGAGAGAATCACTTCGCACTCACGTTCAATTCATTCTGGCATCTTCTTGGCGGCTGGCCTGTCCAAAATTATGCGAGGCATATGGGGATGTAATTGCACCCGCCAACTCACAAGTGATAACCACTCACTTCTGCTCATTACGCTTTGAAACTGGGCATGCGCCGCGCAGCAAGCTCAGGATGTAGCTACTGTAGCTACCCTTGAAGTGTACCCTGAAGCTCAGATCCTAAAACCCCAACCCTGAAACTTAGCCCTGAATCCTGCACTCTAAATCCTAAAATCCAGAAACAGTATCCCAGAAACGAAACTGACCCGACATCCCACCGGCTGTCAACATCGTAGGGTCCTCCTATCGCAACAATGACACAATGTCCCGTTTAGGCGTACAAAATAATGCAGGGTTACGCGGCGTAGGGTTTTTGGCTTACAGATCTCTCTCTTTTGGGTTTCATAAGACTTCCCAGTTGCCCCGTAGTCCGGGCCGGGGACCCGGTAGAGTTGGTATGGGGTGCCGATGACCAACTCCCCGGCAGACCTTGCTCTTCATTGTGGGTGTGAAGGGCCAGGGCTCCAGGACGACTAAACATCTGGGTAGTTGTCAAAATTATGGTCCCTTTTGGGTACCCTAAATAATAGGTGCCGTATTATAATAAGGACCCAAAAAGGGACCATGATTTTGACAACCACCCAGCTGGACAAGCAATGGCGGTAGGAGCATCTTCACAGTTAGATCATGTTCGATGCAAAGTTTTGGCCTTAGGCTTGGGTCGCCTTGAATCAGGAAGGCTCTACATTTGCGGTCTGGGTTTGTAACGACTGTCGTGATTGCCGCTGTTTACGATGTTTTCCTTCTGCTACTGCATTTGTCATCCTTGTTGTTCTTCGTTACTTGTGCGCCGCCTCCTCTTCCTGTTGCTGCTAGCTCATTGCAACAACGAGGGCGACCATGATGACAGCGACGATGTACGACGAGTACTCCTCCACCTGCTTCATTCCTGCTATCTCCGCATCGAAGTTCTCATTCCTCTTCTCACCGCACCCAATACCGTTGCCATTTCTTTCTTCTTCCTCTGCTCCCGCCTCTGCCCTCCATAATTTGGATGTGCATTTCTTAGGCTTTCTACCCCTCGCGCATTGGCTGCTGCAGAATTTGATGCCGGTGTTGGTCTTGAGCCTTGACATTCGTGTCGCCTTTGACTTACCAGCTTGAAGCTCTCACACCCAGTATGTTGGTTCGCGTCTACACTCTACACATAGTACAAGAAGATGCTCGAAACCGCACCACGTACACTCCTGAAACGTGGCAGTTCTGAGATCCGGCTATGATTCGAAATTCCAAAACGGTACGGCGATCATATATGCAGTTATATGCATAGCAAAAACTGTCCTACTAGCAACTAATGGTTCATGTATTGCGAGATGATAATCCGGGAGCACCGGCAATGCCTCCAACACCTAAAGAAACAGGAAAAGCACGACCCACGCAATGAAAAAACATGAAAGATGTGCAAACATGTTAGCATTTTGGGATCAAGTGATTTCCAGGACCACCTCTGCGCAGCGAGACTTGTGCAGACTGGCGCTAATGTAGGGGCCTAAACAATTACCTATACTATTGTGGGGGCTCCTTATTACAATGATAGTAAAATGGGCCCCAAAACCCTATTCTAATCAATAAGGCGCCTATATTAGCTTTGAAAGACAAGCTTCTTATCTTAAGTGTTCACGGCTAGGGGGCTTGGGTTTAGAGCTTGAGCTTAAGGTGCTTAGATAGGGCATAGGGCTGATCTCAACCACTCGGTACGAGTTACTGTCAAGCCCGACCTCACCCTTACCTTCAACACACAGCACATTCAACTGAGTGACAAGTTACATTACCACGGGCCTTCTCAATAAGATTGTAACTGGGAGTAGCAGTACTAGTGGCAGCAGCGGGAATACTTGCAGCAGTTGCAGCAGCGATAGCGGGAGCCGTGGCTGGAGCAGCAGCAGCAGCAGCAAGAAAGTACTAGCAGCAGCAGCAAACAACGCAAGGGCGGCTGTTTCCTCCTTCCTAAACCCTAAACCCTAAACCCTAAACCCTAAACCCTAAACCCTAAACCCTAAACCCTAAACCCTAAACCCTCAAAAAGCCTTGGCCAAGCCGCCAGTGCAGGGCGTCCGGGCGAATGAGAGCCGAGGGCCACGGCGCGGGCCACCTCCGCTTTCAGGTTTAGGGTTTAGGGTTTAGGGTTTAGGGTTTAGGGTTTGTAAAAAGTGTGCGCGCGGTGGGTGCGCCTTTTACTTTAGGAATAGGGGCGCACCCACTAATCTCGCGCTTGCGTCAGCATGTAGTCCCACCCCAACCATCCAAACTATTCTCAATTAGGGTTTAGGGTTCACCCCCC